GCTACTACATCATACAGCCTACAAAGATATTTACACTATAGCCTCTGAATGTTCACCCATCAAAAGTGGGTGCTACTACAGCATACAGCCTACAAAGATATTTACATTATAGCGTGCAGTCTACACAGATACTATCATCATCACCGTTTTAATGATTTACTAAAACATAATTTCCTGCTAAATAATTTTATATCTATCCATGTTTTTGTTCAGCAAATAATAATAATTTAATAAGTTGTGTGTTCCAAAAGAATACCTTTAATTTAGGTTATAATTGTACTAGTTTTGATTGTTGGAATTTATTTCATTCCAATTATATTTACCCTAAAAATGTTATGTAATGGTAATTTGTACTTTATTAATTTAAAAGTGTTATTTATAATAAATGGCACCAATTGCAAATAAATGAAAGTTAAAATGGTGATGATGATGATAGTATCTGTGTAGACCACACGCTATATTATCACCCAAAAGTATTTGATAATAGAGCATGAACAGATTAGCCCAGTACTGGTACTGATCTAGATCCTATAACAACTCCATCTCTCTGATTATGTACTTTTGATTGTTTAATAATAGGTCCAGTACCTTTCTAAATACTTATTTAGGCAATCTATTTTGGTTTTCATTATTATACACAATATTAACAACTAAATAAAGTCTTCATCCAAAAGTATATTTGTAAATAATGATTCAGTATCAAAGCTAGCACAATAAACAATTTCCAAAGTTTAATTTTTGTATTTTTTTTACAAACTGAAATCTGTCTGAATTAGTAAATTCATGAATACTTAATGGATGATTTTAATGTTTTACAAGAAAACATGCCAGTTTATGATTAGATACAAACAGTCTCCTTCTTTCTGTATTTTAGGTTGTGAATATAAAACACCTATGTGATTCTGTTGGTTTTAACAACTTATGTTCATTATTATTTGTTAACCCTTCTTTCTTTAATTTTAATAAGTTTTCCTAATGTTGTACACAATAAAGCTACATGAAAAGAATTACTTGAAAAAGCACACAACAAGAGTATATTCTCAAACACAAAAAGATTTGTGGCCTAAAACATAGATGGATACTTCAACTTCTATTCTGATTCTGAACAAGATGGGATAGTGGGAGGTGGTAATTTTTACAATTTTCTATCATTTCTTCTGTGAGAAGATATAATTTCACATAAAATACACTTGTAAATTTAGATATATGTAGTAAGTTCTACTTCTACAATAATCTTTCATTTCTAAAAAATAACCTACATATTTACAAATATATTCAAAATTCTAATCCTCCACTTTTAGGATGCTGTAATTTTAAAAAATTTCTTTCTTTGTATTAGATCTAACTTTGTTATATTTTCATTAGAGAGTCAATAATCTAGTTATATGATTCAGGTATTCATTTAATTTCTTACTTATCTTCATAAACATTAGTTTTTGGCTGTACTCTTGGTCATGTCCTGCTACATAATTCCCCACATAAACAGTAATGTGATGTTGTAATATATCTCCGATGCCATGCTGTTACACTGTAACAGTAACACGTTGTAGTAATTTGGTAGAGTTCTTTTAAGGGTTTTCATTGATTTTTTAGGTTGTGGGAGTTCTGTTTATACATAGTTATACTGATATTACATTGTTCAACAGAACTTGAAGCCAACAGTTAGTGTTTGTGTGTTCCATAAGTAAGGTGTGCCCTGTTAAACCTTTATTGTTGCTTTCATTAACAGTACTGGTTAGAATTTTATTATTTCTATTGTTCTACTTCTATTCAAGAGATAGTTTTGTATAGTTTGCTCAATATATGTATTTAGGACTAACCTAAATCTTCAAAGCTAACTGAGCCTTATTGGGCTTATGGCTGAAAATATTGTTAACAGCAAGGGTATCCAACAAAAAACAATTCATTCTAATTTTTTATACATAAAAATGCAAGAAAAGTATATTTAATTAGCTATATTCATTAAAATATTGATTTTTTTAGTTTTGCTAACCTGGGCCATGATAATATCCAATGTTATTTAATGTTACAGAGATAAGTTATGAAATCACTGAAAATTTATATCAGATATAGCTTCAAATTAACAGGTTCCTAATATCAACATGTTGAGACATAATGCTTCAATTGAATAAATCATGAAAGTTACACCCGAGACAAAAGATGTTTATAAGTGATGGTACAAAAAGCCAAGTGTTTTGTAAATGAAAACTGTTATTTAAAAATTATTTATTTTCAGATTGTTTTTATTACAGTGACAAACTATGCTACACAATTAAATGTAATTTGGGACTGTTGGGAGACATGTTGCATTTGCCCACAAATGTTGGCACTTTAATTTTTAGACTAAAATAATAAAAGTGATACAAATGATAAAGTAAAGATCTTTTCACACCTGTTTCCAACTTTAAAAATGAAATAATTCTTAAAAATATTATAATGAATAATTTTTCTAAGGAAACAAAGTGATGGCTGAAAGTAAGAGGCAAATTACCAACCAATGGGATTATGGGTGGGAAGCCCACATAAGCCAGTGTTTGTGGACTTACAATTCATATATTTGTCATAATTTAACACCTTCATGAATTAGAAGAATTAAATGATCAAACTTAAAACTAACAGAAATTCTAAATACATTCTTAATAAATCAATTTTGCTGAATCATCAGGCCTACCTTTGTGATAAGCTTGTACAGAGTTTAATAATGGCTGGAGACGGCTTGAATGGGTAATGAAGAAAAACTTTAATACAACAGCAAATGTACA